TAAAAAGATAAGTAAATGTAACTGTAGCTCACAAAAACTAACAAATTGGCACTGTGGGGATATTAAATGGTCAGAAGAGTAAAGGTTTTCTGTCACAGATGGTCCATGTCTCAGATGATTAGAACGAAGCGGCGGGACAAAGCAATAAAATTGAAATAGCGCACAGCAGGAGGTCAGCTGATGTGAATGGGAACAAACTACTCATCAGAGATATCTTGGAAACCTTTATATTCGATAAATTGCAGGCTTGTTGACGTCTCTGCTGAAGCCAATATTGTTTAGCTGATAAATAAGCTTTTTGTCATGGAAGTAGATGTTTTTCACTCAGAGTATTTGTTTCTCTTGGATTATACTTAGCAGCACTGAAAGAAAAAAGCTATTTATCATTTTTTGCCCGAGAAGATTTTGTCACTGTAAAGGAAAAGCAATACACAATGGACATTTTGCTTACTTTTTCCAGCTGCTGATAAACCATGTTTGGAATGCTGGTACTATTTGGTCTCCAGATTATAAAAGCAAACCAATTAAAGTCGTAGTAAACAGTGAATGGGCTTTGGGGTTGACTGAAATACTTCTGGTGTAATTATCGGCACAGTATAGTACTATTACTATACTCTACTATACTCTTTTATTGTTCTGTTCTACAACATATTTTGATTTTTGCATTTCTAAACCTCAAACAATTTTTTGATTGAAATCTTTATAATGGAGCCAATGACAGTAGCAAAAACTAGGAATCTGAAAAATAACCAATTCTTACAGTTAAAAATCTGAAAGAAGTGATGCCCTCTTGGTGAAGACTTCTTGGTGCATTGCTACTGCAAGTGCTTCAGGGTATATAAATTACCCAAGTACATCAAGAGACTGAACATTTTGTCCTTTCTTTTTATCATTTTAGTTCAATCTATGGTGGTTTTGATGGGGAGTTTAGGCAAAGAGAAAGATATCCCTTTTAATGTCTGTATTGTTCGGCCAAACTGTGGGGGTTTGAAGTAGGACAACACAGAGACAGGCTCGTACTGTATGAGCAGCAAGGTGATGGTGATTCAATAATGTAAGAAAAATACTTCAATCATGCCAAAAATAGTTATTAGGAGAAGAAGCATGGACTGAGAATAAGGCAGAGTAATACAGAATTGGGAAGAACAACATAAGGGTACAGCGATGTACAAAAAAACAAATCACAAGTTTAAACAACAGGTGAAACAGGTGAGTGGCAATAGCTTCACTTCATATTTATTAAGCACGATTATGGTTTCCGTAGATGATTACAGAAATGGCAAACCATCATGCCAAGCATTTGGAAACAGTGGAAAGGAAACTCCCCATTAACAGAGAGAAGCAGCAGAGCCATTCTTGAATGGCGAATTTCTTCTCAGAAACCAGGTCGTCTGCGTGTGTGTCATGGTTAATGCAGATATGTCTCCGCCCCTTTCGCAGACACTCTGCTGCACCTCTCCAAAATTTTAGGTGACCCCAGACAGTGCCCCAGACAGGAGGCATCTGATTGGTCAAATCTACATCCGCTCTACACTATACGAATGTCCTGTTTGGGACCTTACCGGCTTTTTTTGTTTGTACGACCGCCATTGTGAAAAACGACTCGTGAAGATGGACCAGCTAGAAGTGCGAGATGCGTGAGAACACCTGGATCCCCGCTCCTTTTCGCCCTCATGTTCCTACGTTGTCTCACAAACTTGCCCCTTGTGTTTTTCCACTTCCTCACCGCCTCGGCTGTATCTAGACCCACAGCTAGTTCATTATTGTCCCTCTTGCGTTGTGGAGTGGAGTAACAAAGCGCAGACCATTTTTCAAAATTGGGCCTCAATCAAAAATATCTGCGTCATACCTCCGTCAAGCTCACTGCGACACTGCTCGGGGAGTATAACCAGCCCTTTAGTGTGATTAGCCTCCTAATACCATCAGCTAAGGGTTTGCACAGACAAAGCATACACTGAAAAGGAACGCATAAGCACTGATCCAGCAGTATTAGGGAATAGGTTAGTAGGTGTAGTAGGTCCTATAGTGGTTTTATCTAAGACACAAGCAGACAAATCTGAATGCAAGTCTACAAGATAAAAGAGAGTTGACATAGTTGCCGTTAAAGCTCAGCCAATTACTATGTGTAAAGTTGACAGTATTTAGTTTCCAGCTTGAGGTGTGAAAGTATTAAGAAAGCTTAGCTCTTAAATCCTTTTGTTAAAAACAGTAGAAAACAATAGTAACTCCCAATGAACAAAGAACAAAAATAAGCAAAACACAAAAGCATGAAGTTCTGTTAGGGTTAAGCAACAAATTGAATAAAAAAAAAAAAGAGAGAAAGGCTAAAAAAACTGCAATACACGGTTAAGGATGGCAGCACCAAAATCCAAGAAAATAAGGTTGTTTAAAAATGGCACGGCTGCATCTTTTAAAAAAATAAACTAAATACCAGAATTTTTTCTATTCATTAAAAGTAGACGAGGGGAACCTTAACTAACTATGGCTTATTGTTACGATGATTAGATATGGGCAATTTGAGAAAATAAATTACATTTCATGAGAACCCTTGTTGAATCTTTGCATAAAAAGTTGATTATTTTCTCTACAGGATAATGTTGGTCTCTGCTATGCACTGTATGCACCTCCTGGTCAAGCTGTTACAGGCTTCTGGGTGAAGGATGCTACTATGTTTGTAGGGAGAGATTAATGATCAAATGTCTTAATGATTTAAAATAAAGCCATGTCAATCTAATGACATGTCGTTAAGTGAGCATTTGCTGTACTGTGAGTGGACAGCAAGTTTTGCATGCAATGCTGCATCCCATGAGGCTGTCTTAATCTTAGGAGGTAGACGTCACAGAGCCATCAGATGTAAGAATTATAGCTCTTTTAATAAACTATTGGATTTCTAGACCCAGGGACATTTTAAGATGTTTTTTTACTTTGCAGAATATGTGAGCTGAATTTAATTTTAGCATTTGATCAGTTTTGTCATTTTCCATTGTCTTTTGCACTGTGGGACGTCATCATATAAACAATAACTCTATGAAGAAAAAAATAACTATATGTACTATGATAAAAACCTACATTTACTGGATGAATGTCATACAAAGGCTTTAGAACTCTTTAGCATTTTATGTTAACCGAGTACAAAAGAATGAGAACAGCTGCATTTTGTTGATTTCTTGCTTTACCTTAACAAAGCTTTGTTAACAATAAATTGCATAAAATGCTGTTGGATTTACCTTAAATGGTGCCAGATTTTTGTAATTCTAAGTGGAATAATCACCATAATTCAGTACGTGGGTTGCATCTATATAGATTTTTGTCCAATACTGGGAAAGCCTATATTATTTCTGGTTCTTGTTTGATGGAACTGAAACAGAAAATTACGTTTTTGTTTTTTTGCCTTGCAGCTCACTTACTCAGCTGTGCTGCTGAACTCATTTTTTCCCCATGTTTTTGGCAAAGCCACTAGGCTGGATAAGATATTTATCAACTCACAATCTATAGGGAGGTGCATTCTGAAGGAGGGTAAAAAGAAATCTTCCTGTTGGTGAACGGCAGTAGAAAGGGGCATCTTGTGGCTAAGTCTCCACAACAACCTTTAGATGGTATCTTTATGCTGAGCTTGTCTCAAAAGCATACCAACAAAAACCCTATGCTGTTTCACCATCACATACATAGTGTAAAATGGAAACATGCCTAAGTCAGATGAAGAGTTTTGGCTTTGATCTAAATAAAATAGTTATGTGTCACTGTATTTCATGGCCACAGTTGAATGAGGGATCTACAGTATGATGCTGTGGGTCTGTGTCCTACAAAGGTCATGGGAAACATAGAAGTAAATGGGCTAGTGAGCTATTAGAATTACTAGTAATTTTATTATACCCATTGGGCGCCCTCTGCCAAAAAGCTGAAAATGCTAAATAATTCGGAACATATTTTAGCAAGAAAATGATCTAAAGCATTTTTGTAAATCAATACAGAAATAATATACCAGGCATAAAATAAACCCACCCCAGTCCTACAGGAAACACTTGTCATAGCATCTCAGAGGAGCTTGGTTGAATCCGAATACCACAAATTGGTAAGGAATCTTCAGCCGTCTGATGTGTGTCAGTGTTCACCATAAGTGTTGTCCAAATAGTAAAAACAAATGCAAGTTACACAAATGTAATGCATTCAGACTGAATGTGGTGTCCGCAGTGAGGGCGGTGGATTTACATAGTATCCTTATATAAAACACATGGGGAAGGGTGGTGAGGCAGACAGCAGTGAATCCCAAGTGGTGAGGGCGATCATTGCTCCGCCCTCACATTGTGCTACTGGATAGAACTGAGGTGTTGTTAAACACGAGCGCTGCATGGTTAGAGTGGAGTGGGGACTGCTAAAGTTGAAAATCTGAACTTTTTTATGAAACCGCTTCACAGCCAACCAGTCAGGGACTATTTTTTTAAATGTGATTTAAGTTAAACAAGTGCAGCAGGGACAAAGAAAACATTTTGAAACAGGATGAAAAAAGGAATGCTCTGAAGAGGTTTTTGGAATGTCCAGTCAACCTAACATGCAGGTTTTTGGACTGTGGTCAGAGGCCTGAAAAACCCGGAAAAAACACAGGGAGAACATGCAAGCTCCACATGGAAAGGTCCTGGTTTCCCCAGAACTCAAACCCAGAATCTTCTTGCTATTAGGCGATGACATAAGGCGTTGCTTATCACCATATCACCATGCTGCCCTCAATTCTGTATGCTTCAAGTTTATAAAGAAAAAACAACAACTCAGTTTTGTCTTTTGGGTAAAATATATATCACTTTATCAACTTATAGATTAGTTTTTTTTTTTTATAAAAAGTGTTTGGTATGAGATTATGGTACATAAACATTTTATCTACACATGAAATAAGTAAATATTTTCTTTGACACATATTTTCACTTCAGAATGGTTGTTTTACATGAAGCAGGGGCTGAAATTTACATTAACCTTAAGGTCTTGCCTTTTTATTGTTTTTACTGCAGATGCCATTGGATCTCAGACATCATTATCCAGAATGACAGAGACCTGAATCTTTGGGTGGACTCCACTACCTAGGGTTCCAACCACAGTTGATGCCTGCTGCCATTCAGCCAACCCACACTTCTTTAGAAGATCCATGTTGACTCTTTTTGTATAAGGACTCAATGGTCTCCAGCTGCTTTTTTGAGGAAATCAGACAGAGAAAGAAATGAAGGGGAAAAAAAGACTGCTAGTGTTTTGAAAAACTTGGTCCTCTGGTGAATTCCTCTTTCCAGGATCCTGTTTGAATTCTGTAAAGCAAAAATCTTGAACTGTCACCAACATCAAGCCTTGAGAAAGACTATGAAATGTAAATGAAAAAAAGCAAGTATAAAGGACACTTCTCCAAACAAGCTGCCCCACAATGTTGTCACAAAAGGTGACATGTGTCTCATCCTACCATGTAGCCACAAAAACCTATGGAAACCTAGAAACTTTTCTACCAAACCCTCAGCCAATTTAAAAGAGCTGAAAAACAACAGGGAATAAATAAACTTGGAGACTTCTCAAGTGCCACTAGATTATTATCAGCCCATGCACTTTCCATTTACATCTTTAATTTAAATTTTCTAAGTAATCATATTTTTAATTTATAGTGACAGAATCATGAATTCCTTCAGCTCTCGTATTTTCCACCACCGCTAGAGACACCTGCATCCAATTAACTACAGCTGATCCAGTTGTGGATTGTACTCAAGAAGAGGAGGAGGGATTTAATGTAAACAACAAAAAAGAAATTAAAGGCAACTGCAAACAAAGCAACAGCAAGAGATTTAAAGAAGGTGAAGAAGAACTCATTGGTCAACCTGGTATTCAATAAAAGGGAGGATCAGAGGGCAGCGGAGGATATGGCCAGATCAAGTTGCCAACACGCTAAGATAATAACTAGCTTAGAGTCAGTTGGAAAGATTGACTGCAGGCACCCAGAGTCTTGACTGATAGGCACAGGACTCATTGCAATTCTTTGTGCTGTGCGGAGCATAGCATCACAAAGAGTGCAAGAGAGAAGAGAAACTCTTGGCTGGCTGCCACAATCAGGGCCAATTAGGAGAATTTGATTATATGCCTTAATCTTGGCAGTCAGGTGGAAAAGCAGTCAGACAGAGAAAGAGGAGGCTGAGCAGGTGCCACCGATACACACCATTATCTCTGTCCATCTCTAATTGAGTTTTTTTCTGCCCCTGTGAGTGTCTCATCTCCAAACAAGAGCTTTAAGTGGTGGAGGTTCCTCAAGAGAAAACAGGGGGGAAAAAAGAAGAAAAACACATTTCCATTTGTGTTTTCCTTAAGAGGACAAGGACTTTTTTTCCACCAATCTCCCTCATCTCTTTAAACCTATGTTCCCTCCCTCAAGATTTATAATCCCAGTTTGGACCTTGTCTCTTCTGGAAGTTTCCGTGCAGCTTCCTCTATCTCAATATCGAGGCTGAGATAAAAGCCAGAGAGGAACTAATAGACATAAAAGGGAAGAGAATTGGCGTGGTACTGAATCTGTGGAGGACACAGCAGACTTATTTCCTTCCTCAATCTCAAACAGCAAGGGTATCTTGCCAAGTGTCCCAAAAACTGTGCTTCCTCTTTTTTAAATATCTTCCTTTCCCTTGGAGAGTTTTCCTCTGCTCCCCTCCTTGTGGATCATAAATTCTATCCTGGACTTCACCAAGATTAAAGTGGCCCTAGTTATCCAAGGAAATCCTTTGATATTGGCTCCCGGTGTTGTCATCTTAATTCTGTGAGTATTTTAGACATTCTTTCTATTACCATTGTCCTGCTTCATACTCTCTGTCACCTGTTTCTCCAATATTGTTTGTAGACATCTGATGACTGGGAAGACTTGCTCTGCCATGCAACATCCCCGTAGCTCAGTTGGGTTTGATGCTGTATACATTATTCATCTTCGAGTTCTTGCTCTTCTAATTCATTTTCTGAAGTGTTAGTTTCAGACCTATATCTTTCAACCCCCCGCCAGGTATTTGCATCTGATACCCAACTAAGATGAAGGTACATATATAAGGGTACAATTTATAACATTAACAAGAAAATCAGAACATGTGACGGATGTGTTTGCCCAGTTGTGTCCTATTATATTTAATGTCCTGACAAGAAATACAGTGCAGAATGTTTGCTTTCAGTTTGCATTTGAGTACTGCTTTTCTAGTCATAGTTGTGATTAATAAGAAAACCTAAATGCTGCCTATCAGCAGGTATTAAGATTAATAATTGTCGGCAATGAATTCCCGTTACCACAGTAAAATGTTATCTTAAGGCTTTTGTACATTTTCAGCTGACATATTGAAAGAGAGTGAGGGATTTTGCATTAACAAAAATGAGTAATATGGGTCTCATGTGTCTATTTTATTGACTTGAGTCCAACAAACACAAAGGTAATTTCCTAACATTGTTGTCAGGTTATAGTATGAATATTTTAATTTACCTGCACAGGACTGTTTGTGGAAAAGATTTTTCATATGGACGTCAAGCTTTTTATCACCACTCCAAAGACCCTATTTCAGAGTTAAATACCCATTTGTTTTACTTGTCTGGGATTGCTGTTTGTAATCTTAAAATACCATACATGTCCTGACTAAATCTAGTACGTCTCTTTTATTTTCGGTGAGAAGCATGCTGGGAGTGAAAATAACATGGTGGCAGGAGCAGCAGCATTAACCGTTATCATTGCCAGACACTGAAAGATGGGTGGTAATTTTTTCTGAATGACATGTCACTCTCATGGTGTCACACACAATCGCTACCTGTTGGAAAGCTTTCCATGCTTGCTGAGGTGAATGCGGATAGACTGCTGCTTTGTGCCAACTGATGAGAACATTTCTTTTGAGCACACCCTCATCTCCTTGATTTCACACATCTTGACCATCATAACCTCACTGCTTTGAATCACATTTGAGATCAAAATCACAGTGAAGCTCCTTGCTCTCCTTTCTGATTTTCAGCCTCTCGGGAACCTCCTGGTTTGTGTTCATTTCTATCAAATTCAATTTCAGGTGATAATTGATTTCAGTGACTACAGTTTTTTTTTTTTTTTGTATTTCACTTTCAAGATAGTAATAATATTGAAACGTCATAGCTTTCGTCCAATCAATAACATAGTGGCATATCTTTTCTTATGATAATTTTTTTTATGTATATTCTATTTTCTTTTTTGTCTCAGTCTGCTTTTTTGTACTGATGCTTTTGTGTTCTGTGGGTGTCATTCTTTCCTCTTTTACAGTAAATTGAGGAACTGACAAGTTTATTAAAAAGATTAGGATGTGTCCTTGTTTGACATAGCAACCATTTTCATCTTGTTTACTGAAAAAAATCTTACCCTGATAGGTGTCCTTGAAAATGTAACACAAAAAACAATTTAAGGCCTATTTAAAAAAAAAAAAAAGAAGTGCTTTTTAGTTGATGCCTTATCAGAATGTGACCACCTGTGGTTTTAAGTGTTTTTGCCTGAAAAGACTTACTCAAACATGAACACGATTATGATGCCCTGTTTGAAACCATTCAGGGTAAACTGCACCCTTTGGAGAAAAAAGAGCATCTCTAATAAACCTCATAAATACTTTTAACTGTGATAAGACAAAAGGTTTCATTTAATTATTAAATGTTTTCTTGTGTGTGAAACTAGCAAAGGTGTTGTAATGATGTGCATAGTGTGAACAGATGCCTTTATAACGTTTTTTGTTGAATTAACCAAAACGATGACAAAGACAAACTTGACGAAAACAATCTTGAAAAATTATTTTACTCATCTGCAGGAAAAAAAAAACATAGTTCAAATAATAACAATGATAACCATTATGCCTACATGCAACTCGCAAAGAAAGAACAATGTTTTTGTTTTTTTTGATGAAAGCTGGATTTTCACCCTCAAACATCTTTCACCAGTAACAGTTTCCTACAAGCTGTCAGACACTAAAAACTTACATTCCAAAGACCCACAAACACATTTTTCATTCAGCTTTTGAAATAGAGGTAAGCAAAGTACAGACCTCTCTATCATATGCACAATAGGCTTCTAATCTACATTTAGTTTGCAAATCCTAAATTGTGCAAACTACAATAGAATGTGTATGCTTTTAATGGATGGGTTGCAGTTAATTTGGTGCACAAAAACTGGTTCAGACTGCCCTGTTTGAATGCAGATTTAGCATGTGATACTTGCTATAGACATGGAGAATTTTGTTGAGCTGAATGTATTTATTTTGGACATTCCAAAAGTTTCTGTTATTTTCAACAGCACCTGCACAGAAGACAGGTATGATTGCTCTGTGTATGCAGAACGAGCACAGGAAAAATTATTTTCTCTCCAAATGTAAAAATGAAAAAAATAAAAATAAAAAATCTGATTTACTGCCTTAAAGGAATAGTAAACCCAAAACATGATTAGCCTTCATTTTCTACTCACCCCCATGCTGAACAACACTCTGGAGTACTTTTTTGATATCTCAAATGCATCTGGAGATCTGGGAGGCTTCTTGCTGTCTGCTGACATTCAAATAATGGAGGTCTATGGTGACCGAGACAGAAAGGTCCATAAAAGTCCACAAAAAACGTGTCAATATTCCTCCATACTGCTCGTCCAATGTATTCCAAGTGTCCTGAGTGGGTAGCATCCAGAATTTACTCGAAACGAAGTCATTTAGAATGTTTTAGAGCATAAACAGTAGTGTATAGGATTTCCTGAAAGCGCGCACATGCGCGCTCACGACGCTACGGAAGCCGGCAGACCAAACCAGCGCATTCAGCTCGGCAAAGAACTCATGCTCTTCCTCAACACTGAAGTCCTCAGACATTTTTCTTTCGTTGTTTCTTTCTTTGCACAGGTAAACAGCACATTTCTTCTTCTACGCTTGCATTATCGGCAGAGCAGACGCTGAATGCGCACTTTCATCTGGTTTGGTCTGCCGGCTTCCGTAGCGTCGTGAGCGCGCGTACTTTGTGGAAGCTGGATTTTTTTTCAACTCTCCCGGCCATTCAAGGAAGTTGTTTAATTTTATTAAAGAAATATCTCTTAGAAAATCACTCAAACGATCTTCCAAAACTCTTTTATTAATAATGGGGAATATCTTCTTTTCTTTAGCTTAAAAAAAAAGGGGGGGGGTTGCTATTCTAGCAGAAAAAAAGGAAATTGTATCTGAACAAAACAAGACAAAGTTTTAATTGTATTTTATCTAACTAGTCATAATCATTCCTAATACATAACCTGAATACTTCAATGGCACTAAAAAACGGATTAAAACTGAGAACTTTTTGCACTTCACTTTGAAATAAACACATCCTCATATTCTTGAGGAATGCCGTTTGTTAAATACGTGGTTATTTAAATTTTGCAAATTACCTTTCCACTTCTCTGATGAGTGATTAAAAGTAAGAATGGACACCATCCCCAGAACTCACAATCTCTAATCTCACTTGACAGCACATTAAAAGATCTTCTATGGGTGACACCCCTAACTGTGATGATGGGAGGGTATGATCCATCTTGAAATAAGTAAATATAGTGTTTCATTTAATTTTTCATAGAAGATATGTCATGGCTTCTATTTGTGACTGCCTCCCAATAAGCACTTACAGTAAAATTTCTCTTGCAGCAATAACAGCAGACCTTGTAATGGTCTTTGTAATGATTTGCCAATTTTCAACTCTTTTTGGAACGTGTTAAATAGAGACAAAATCACTCATCCAAGCTCAGTTACATATTTGATAAATCACCTTACAGCTGATAATATTATTAATTTGGCTATCCTCATCCCAACAGTTTGCACAATCTGATTATTAGCATATTTATAAAGAAACTGATTAGACGTGCTTGTTTTACTAATTTAACAGATGCAATCCTTGATGCAACTGTTATTTAATTACTTTTTTTTATGTGTTTTAAGATATAAAAAAATGAAATTAGGCCAAGCCCTACAGGTGTTGATGACAGAAATGTATCAATAAAAAGTTTGGATTGACACTGGACCTAATTTAACATTTAAATTATAATCAGTTACTGGTCTTTTTTAAGAGATCATATTGTATATATTTTTCAAGCAAGCCTTATTTTGGAGATTCTAAGCAATTTAACATTGCTAATATACTGATCTTAATCTTCACTTCAGCTTTATATGTTCCTCCTTATACGTCTTATATCCAAATTCACTTTTTTCCTTTTAATTTTGCTTGTTTTCTCTACAACTACTTTCCCTTGGTCCATTTTCTTTAAATCTATCATCCGAATATTTTCCTCCTAAATCTTCCCCTGCTTCCTTCCCTGTGTTGAAGTGTGTCATTTTGGGTGTTTAGAATGGAAGCGCACTCCCCGTATTCAGCCTTTCATTTCTTTATGTTTGATTTTAGTAGAGGCCTCAGTAGTAATGTTCCTGCGTGGGAAGTTCGAATCAATAAGGTTTTATGCAGCTGTTGGAAGTCTGCGTGTGCCTATTTTGTCTGTGCATGCAGCATGAGCAAATATTTCTGTGTATTTGAGGTGTTTTATTGACTGAGTGTGTGCTTGTGTATGATGAGAATTCTGATTAAAAATAGTCCTAAGGAGCTGAATGTTGAGCTGAATAAAAGCTGATTTGTAGATAACTGAAAAATATTTTTTTCCCGCAATGTGTTGCTTTGTAACAAAAATTAAAAGCTTCTACTGGCATACTGCACACTAGCCCTCATATAAACATCATATCATTTAAGACCTTTGCTTCTGTCATCACTTAAGGCGGCAGACTCAACACTATT